AATAACTATAGCTTGTGTCAAATTGACATAAAGCCAGTACAGTCCCATGGGAAAGGCTGCTCTCCTGGATCCTCTGCTAGCCTGTGGTTGAGCATCCTGTCTAGCTCTGAGGGCCAATCTCTAGTCCCGGGGCCTTCTATTTCTAAGTCAAGGAGAAACTCCTGAACTCTTGATAGTGCCAGTTGAGGGCTAAGAAACAGCCTGTCACAGGAAATCGAGAGCCCTGATGATGAAGGCACCAAAGCTATGGTCCAGAGTAGCAGAACAGCCTTCAAACCATAAGTTGAGGTTCACATCCCAGTGGTTTGTGTTGTATTGTCTCTGTCTGGGAAGACTCACTGCCTGTTACTGCTGGTGTGGGTAAAAAAGAAGGGATTCCCTTTTTCTTAGCCTCATGGTTCCCTATACCTTTCTGTGCTCCTTCAAGCCCTCAAGAAAAGAAGGTCCCCTGGGAATCTAGGAGCTCAGTGTAGATTGTGTGCTTTTGTGAGAGAGAGTATGAGTGTGAATACATGTATGTGTGTATGCTGGTCAGACACTGCCCCCTGAGCCTCATCCATTCCTAGTGGGAATTTCTGAAGGGCAGTGCCCCAGCCCTAATGACTTGGGTAGACTCAGCCCTTTCTACCTTCCTAGAGGGATTTGTGTGTATGCAAGCATGTAGAAACCTGACTTTCCGTCCCAGAAGTGTTTGGTGGCTTCTGTCAACCAGATGGGCTCTCACAGCCTGTGGATCAGTAGAGCTCCAGCCAAGTTCTAGAGATAATGCTAAATTAAATATAAGTAGCTTTGAGGATAGCAGGGAGCTGAAGGAGCCACATGGCAGAGTCAATTGTCAGACCCAATCTAATGCATCTACACCAGATGGCATGTGTGTGGCTCATGGACATGCACAGTACTCAGCTCCTTCCTGTTGCTTTGCCAGGCCCCTGCCCTGTCATCATTAGCTGTGTGGTGCTGAGTGAGTACTCAGGGGCCAGGTTTCTGTGCTGGAATACGGGACCCTCTCTGGTTCCTAGTATCCACATCTGTCGCTAAGAGACTGTGAAGCTTTCCTAGAAAGGATCTCTTTCTAAAGAGGTAGACAGTGCACATGACAGCCTCCACCACAGTGGGGCCTCTCTTAAGTCTGCTATGGACTCTGCCTGGGGTGCTGCTGACACCAGATACCTGAAGCTGTGGCACAAGACTGTTACTTTTTTACAGTCCTGTCATCTGTTTTCTCCTTCTAGTTCAGGATCTCAAGGGGCTCGGCTACGAGAAGGGGAAACCAGTGGGCCTGGTGGGTGTCACAGAGCTGTCTGATGCACAAAAGAAGCAGCTGAAGGAGCAGCAGGAGGTAAGGCCACAGGCAGGGAACTCAGCTCTGCCCAAAATGAAGGACCACATGAATATCCATATATGAGTGCTGCCTAAGGAGTTCCTGACAGTCAAGTCCCCAGAACCAGGTTAGGGCAGTATCCAGGGCCCATTTGCCCTTCCCTAGCTCCCTCCAGTGTCTTGGTGTCCTATGCCCTGGGATCCTGATAATCTGAAGCATTGTTGTCTGATCTCAATAGGCAGGGGCCAGTTGGGCAGGTCAGTTGGGATCATAGCCCCAGACGCCCTAGTACCACCTTGCCGTAGGCCTGCAGCCGGACATCTGCTGCTGTCCTTGTTCTATGTCTAAGATATGTATGTGACAGGCTGCAGCTCTTGCCCTGCCCTGCTTATTTGGGCAAGGAGACATCCGCACTGAGTCTCTGGCTGTCCCCTGCACAGATGCAGCAGATGTATGACATGATTATGCAGCACAAGCGTGCCATGCAGGACATGCAGCTGCTGTGGGAGAAGGCACTGCAGCAACACCAGCATGGCTATGACAGTGATGAGGAGGTGGACAGCGAGCTGGGCACCTGGGAGCACCAGCTGCGACGCATGGAGATGGACAAGACAAGGGGTGTGTGGGGCATAAGGGGCGGGTGAACCCCACTCCCCTGCATCACCTGGCTGTGACACAGGGTGCAGAGGCTCTACCTCTCCCTTTCCTCATTGAGGGGTGTGAGCCTTCATAAGCAATCACTGGTCTCTGTGGGAAATACTGGGCAAGGCTGCAAATCTAGAACATGCACCATTGGTATCACCTCCTACTTCATCCCTCACCACCCATCTTTCCCTCTTCTCTGGGCAGAGTGGGCAGAGCAGCTAACACAGATGGGTCGGGGCAAGCACTTCATCGGTGACTTCCTGCCCCCTGACGAGCTGGAGAAGTTCATGGAGACCTTCAAGGCCCTGAAGGTGAGCCCTGGGTTCAGACCTAGGGAAGCTGACAGGAAGGCACCCAGCCTTCCCGTGCCGTGGCAGGCACTGACAGGTAGGGCATTAACAAATAGTGCAGTGTTTCCCAGCCATGGGGAAGTCATACCTCCAGAGCACAGGGGCTTTTTCTTTTTCCTTTTCAAGAAAGGGTCTTGCCATGCAGTCCTGACTGGTCTGAAACTTGCTGTGTAGAACAGGTTGGCCTTGATCTCTTGCCATCCTGTCTCTACCACCCGGTTGCAGGGAGGTACTGCCTTGCATGCAGCCCTCCTGTGTAGGCTCAAGAACCAATGAGCTACTGTGATATAAATTGGGTTCTCTTTGTATCCCATAGCCACATCTACTTAGCAGTCTTTGTGGCAGATTGTCCCCACGCTGTGTCTTTGGAACAAATTTCTCTAGAACATGAACTGTTAATAAACTGTTAATAAACTGCCAATAAACTGTTAATGTACCAAGGGGGCCATGCTAATGGTCACCTTGCTCCTTTTGATTTGATTGTCAGAAAGCTCAGCTCTTTGGAGACAGCAAGCAGAAGGATGAAGAGCTTGATCTATTTCAGTTGTAGAAACTAGTGGGTGGGACACATGGGTGACCCCAGGCTGACCTGAGGCGAACAGTAAGTGGGGTAGGCATTAAAGCCAGACCCAAGTATAGCTGCAGTCCTGTGGTTGCCAGCTTCCTCCCTTATGTTGCAGGAGGGCCGAGAGCCGGACTACTCAGAGTACAAGGAGTTCAAGCTGACAGTAGAAAACATTGGCTACCAGATGCTCATGAAGATGGGCTGGAAGGAGGGCGAGGGACTGGGCACCGAGGGCCAGGGCATCAAAAACCCAGTGAACAAGTGAGTGCTCCCTGGGGCTTGCAGGGAACACACAGATGGAGCAAGCCTTGAAGTTCCAGAAACTAGTGAGAACTGTCCCAAGTGTGAAGCTTTGTTTCTACACTGCTGCATGACCTTAAGGCTGGCCTCTGACCTCGTTCTGGGTTAATTAAGGACCACTGCCAGCGTTCCTGAGCCCTACCACCCATCCCCACCCCAGTACCCTGTAGCCCTTTTCTATCTGTGCCATCCTGGGCCCTATTCTTGACCACTGGCTTTCCACAGGGGTGCCACCACAGTAGATGGAGCTGGCTTTGGCATTGACCGGCCGGCTGAGCTCTCCAAGGAGGATGATGAGTATGAGGCCTTCCGCAAGAGGATGATGCTGGCCTACCGCTTCCGGCCCAACCCTCTGGTGTGTGCCTCCCTGACTCCCTGCTGGTGGTGGGGAGGAGACAACAATGTCCCGCTTCCAGCCCTCAAAAGTTGTCAGCTCTGCTGCTTGGAAGGTTCTGGAGGAAGAACCTACAGTTTTCCACTAACATTATCACTCTTGATCTTTTTGGCCTTCCACAGAACAACCCCAGACGGCCCTACTACTGAATATTCTGGAAACATAAATTCTACTTTCAGATCGGCCATCCTTAGACTGTGGAGTGTTCTGGCATCCGTCTCTACCCATCCTGTGTCACAAGTGTTGTGCTGTGTATTAAAGTCCCAGTGCTCACCTGCCTAGCATTCTGCCCTTGCTATTACCAGAAACCCCTTTTGTCCCTCCTCTGGTCCCTGTGAGGCTCGTCATTGAGTTCAGAGTAACTGGAGGCTAGCCAATTGGTGCGGACTTTACCCCAGGCAGGGAAAAAAGGGGCCTCCAAACACTTCATGATATGTGCATGGGCTGTGTGTCCTGGGTTGAGGGTGGGGCCTCTCTGGAGGCAGACACCTGGGAGAGGCGCTCTCTCATACCAGAAACCAGCAGTGGGTAGAGATGCCAGCTGCCAAGGCTGACCTGCGTGGTAGACATCTTAACATGGAAGCTCGACACATGCTTTGCCATTCCCTCCTCATGCACATACAAAAAAAATTAATTTTAAAAATAGCCAGCCAAGGTAGTGTACTCGTTTAATCCCAGCACTCAGGAGGCAGAGGCAGATGGATCTTTTGAGTTCAAAGCCAGGCTGCTCACCAAAGACTGTTAAACAAAAAAAACTGAGTTGGAGCAGTGACTCACTGCCTGTTCCCGCAGAAAGTCCAGATCCCAGCGCTCACACGGTGGGTTACAGCCATCCTTAACTCCAGTTTTAGGGGAGTAGATGTCCTCTTCTAGCCTCCTTGCACACTACATACACATGAGAAAAGACGCGGCGAAACACCCACATACATAAAATGTTTTTAAACATCCCTGGGGCTAGGAAGAAGGCTTAGTGGTTAGCATCTGCTGCACGGTCATGAGGTTAAGAGTGTAGATCGCAGAACACAACAACCTGATGCTCCAAGCACACCTGTAACCTCAGCTCCTGTCTCTGTGAGACGCTGTTTCAAAAGAACGAGGAGAATGATAAATCAGGACTCCCCACAGTCTTCCTCCTCTGGTCTTTACGCCCCTACTGACATACAATCCATTTCCCCAAGTTCAGCTACACAGGTGAATGGTGCATGAGGTGGAGCTAATAACTGGGTGGAGGAAGGGGCGTGGTCACAGCCGGCGGGGAAAGGGCTGAGAAGCGGGAAGAGGTGTGGCCATCGCCTTACAGTTGCTGAGGACCGAGAAGGGAAGCTTGTGGGCGGAGTCTCGAGGGGGCCGGGCCCTGCAGACTAGCCAGGAATCCTATCGTAGGTAAGGGTGGCCGCCCGGCCCGCGCGGGACGACCTTTGCGCGGGGCAGGTCCCTGGCAACCTAGAGCTCAGACGCGCTGAGGTCGCCGAGCCAAGCGTCTCGGAGGTCGGGGCGCTGCTGCCATGGACATCCCTCCGCTAGCTGGCAAGACTGCGGCGTTGTCTCTCGGCGCCCTGCCAGTGTCCTACGCGCTCAACCAAGTCTCAGCGTTCTCACAGTGCGTCTCATCCGTGAGGACCACTGGGCTGGAGAGAGGTTGAGGGGTGGCCGGGCCAGGGGGTCGAAGCTGGGCCTGGGGGACGCCTATGCAAGCAGAAATCCCTCTCTGGCCGCACTGAGTCAGGAGGATGCTGTCGTAGGCTTCTGGGAAAAGGTGATGTGGAGCCATAGTGGGTTGGGGCGTTTACTGGTATTCCAGGGATGCACCCGGCTCAGGTTCCAAAGTCGCCCAGGGTCAAAGTATTATCCTAGTGAAAGCCCTACCGGCCCAGCTCCCCTGGCACGCTTGTCCTGTTCCACTGCCTGTCTCAGGCCTAGAGTAACTTCCCCTTACACGAAATGACCACCCTGTCCCTGTCTTCTCTCTCTAGATAGACCCTGGAAGTCCAACAAGCCCCTCAATCCAATACTCAGCTGATCCAAACAGTAGGACAGAGGGGGCTTTAGCCGTAGGTCAGGCTCCCTGATGCCAGTACCTGTCTCCTGGGGATCTGAGTGATCAAGTGCCCTCTGGGAGCCTCTGTCCCTTCATCCGTCTAACTCTCACTATAGTTGTGGGTGAGGATCACAGCTCTGTGCAATGTCAAGATTAGTGTTCTTGGCTTTGCTAGTTAGGTGAAATCAAGCTGGGTTCATGAATTGTGGGCCTGGGTAGTGTAGGAGAATTGAACAAAACCACGCTGTGTGGCGCTGAGCGAGTAGATTTTCCACTCTGGGTTTTGGTTTGTTTGTCCAGCTGTGTTAAGTGAAGCCCAGAGATCTGGCTTCTGTTATCTATGCAACTAGCTTAACTGTCTTATCAGATTGGTGAGGTAGATCTGGGCAAGGATAGGGTGGAACAGTTGGAGGCATTTGGACTTTAGTTTGGGAGGAACTGGGATCCTCAGGGAATACAGGAGACCCTCCCCATCAGGGCCTGGTCACATGAGGAGTGAGCCTCAATGACTGACCAGACAAATCCAAATGAATGGGTATCAGCTAATGATGGAATTATTGGAACTAACAGAAAGGGGTCGGGAAATCGGGGAAGGCTTCTAGGGGAACAATATGGATGGGCCTTGAAGGATGAGTAGAAGTTTGCCAAATAGAACTCCTAAGCAACAAGTCGCTAGTAGGGAAGGCAGTTTTCATTCTCATTTGCTGATACTTTCTGAATTATTCCTCTAAGAGGTCTTGCCTAAGCATGGCCTCCCTTCCTCAGGACCCTGTGTGTGATGTTGGTGAGTGCATTGATCTTGGGTCTGCTCTTCATGACCATCTACAGCCTATCTCATGGGGAAATCACCTATGACCCTCTCTATGCTGGTGAGTCACTGGGAGGTGGTGGGGAGCAGGGCTGTATGGGCAAAGGCCTCTCCATCTAGACTTGGGGCGAACTAAGGACCTCCATTAGTCTTTAAGAGATTCCCATTAACCTGTGGAACTCAGAGGGCCTGGAACAACATAAGACTGGAAAGCCTCAAAGGACCCCTTCTCCTCTTTCAGAGTTGGAACTCCAGAGAGAAGTAATTATGTCTCCTCCATCAGAATAGGCCCAACCCAGCATTAATATAGCCCAAGCTGACCTTGTATGCTGGTCTTCCTGCCTCTGAGTGCCAATTGCTGGGATAAGAATGGCAGTTTATCCAGCTTATGTATGGCCTTGTCACTGTGCTCTGGATCTGATGTTGCAAGCCCAATTATAAGCTCAACTAAAAGCCAGGTGTGGTGCTGTGGGCCTGTAAACCGAGCACTTGGGAAGCTACAGCAGGAGGATTGCTATTTGTTCAAGGGCAGCCTGGGCTACAGAACCTGTGTCAAAAGAACAGAACCTGAGATTGCCCAGGTCCAACTGTCATTGTGTTGGCTTTAGCCACACCATACTTGGGCCTAGCTCTGCCCATGTCAACCCCACTCACCTATTCAGTCCCATGCTCTCTCTCCAGTCTTTGTGATCTTCTCTTTCACCTCTGTGGTGGACCTTGTCATTGCACTCCAGGAAGATGGCATCCTGATGGGATTCATGGATTTCTACACCAAGGAGGTAGGTGTAGGGTGGCTGGGCATGGTCCTTGTCTCAGCACGCATGCTCCTGAGCCCCACTGCTGCCCACAGGGCGAGCCCTACCTGCGCACAGCACATGGCATCTTCATCTGCTACTGGGATGGTACTGTACACTACTTGCTCTATCTGGCCATGGCCGGTGCCATCTGCAAAAGGTGAGGGGGACACGGAAGCCTAGAAACCCAGGAGGAAGTTGATTCCTGAAGTGGGTTCCGGGTCACTGGGGAGCCGGAAATGTTTGAAAAAGGGCTATGATCACCCAGGGATGCCTAGCAGATGTTTCCAGAGCCTGCCAACGGGTATGGTTGGCAGGAGACCACATCTTCTAGACCGCTGGTACCATTCCCAGTGCTTGTTGTCCCTGTATGAGGTGCCATCCTTGCACATTCTGAGCATGCTTAGATCTACATTCCATCCTGGCTGCCAAACATGAAATAAATAAATAGCCCAACAGGGACCCAAAGGCAGCCTCTGGGCTCTAGCAGGGGTTGAGATTGAGGGTTAGTGGCCCACAGTTTTTCCCCTTCACTTCCCAGGAAAAGGTACCGGAATCTTGGGCTCTACTGGCTAGGGTCCTTCGCCATGAGCCTCCTGGTGTTCCTCCCGGGAAACATCCTTGGTAAGGATACAGATTCTGAGACTCCACATGTCTGTAGACCCAACAGCCCTGTGCCTTAGCCAACAATCAAGATACCCACCTCTCCCTTTCCACATGGAAATAAAAGAGAGATGACATTAATTCTGTTGCTCTCCAGGCTCCTGGCCCATGATGTTGGGGGTTTTCCAGAATGCTCTTCACACAGGAAGGGAGTTTTAGAGTGGCTTTAGTGAAATCTTGTTAAGTAGGTCTTTGGAGATAGGGTGGAGATGATAAGACCCAGGTTGAAAGGGATCAGAAATCGCTGAGCGAAGGGGATATCATCCAAGATGGAAAGCACAGACATACATATTCAGAGGGTAAATTAAGGCAGGCCGGAGAAGGAGAATGCTGGGAAGACACGGAGGGTAGGAGAGCTTGAGCAATGATAGTGTAAGGCAAAATGATGCCCTTGCCAAGGTGAGGCTCTTGCGTGGCCCAGTTGCTATTAGGAGCTTCTTTGCCAGTCACATGATCTCCCCACCCTGGCAGGTAAATACAGTTCAGAGATCAGACCTGCCTTCTTCCTTGCCATCCTTTACATGCTGGTTCCATGCTGGGCTGGTGTGAGGATCTTCAACCAGTCCTGTGCACCAACCTCCTATACCCTCGACATGGTGAGTGCCCCTGCCAGCACCTGCCTGTGAATGGCTTTGGATCAAAGGCTGTGTGTCAAGCTAGGTATGGTGGCCCATGCCTATCATCTGAGCACTGGGGACACTGAGGCAGGATTGCCATGAGTTTAATTCTAACTTGGATTTTATGGTAAGATTGTCTCAAAGCTCCGAAGACTCAAATATGGCTTGGCAGGAGAACACTGGCCTAGAATTCCCCAGTAGGGGCTCAGGGGTAGAACACTTACTCAGCCTATACAAGACCTAGCCTCAATCCTCAACTCATGTCTAAATGACTGAATTCTTAGGAGAGCCTCCTTGGTTCTCAGAAGATTGAGAGAAACATTTGTTGAGCATTCTGCTGGATTCCAGACCTCTCTGGCTAGCTGACTTTTTCACATGGGGCAGGTACAGGAGGAACAGAAGAAACGCCTCCTACAGCGCCCAGCTGACCTGACCCTCATCATATACCTCATCCTTGCTGCATTGTTCACCCTCTTCCGGGGCCTGGTGAGTCTGCCTTGGTTGGGCACCGCACCCCTTCACTTCCAGTCTCCCTGTTCAGCCTGCTTCTCCCAAATTTACTTTTTATTCGTTGCCAAAAGGACAGTGTTCTTCTGTCTGATCACCCAAGAAAGTTCATTAAGTCTGACCCAAATGTTTCATGAGAAACACCTATTCCCTGTAGCCTCTTGTCTATAATTTTATTGTAGACCCCAAGCCAAAGGGGGAGAACTAGGGAGGGCTAAGCAGGACCAGGGTGATTATTGTTGGTTTGGCTTGAGAGCCAGAGTGGGAAGGTGCCTTTGTGACAGGGATGTGTCACAGGGATGGTGATTTTCTGTGTCTTAGGTGGTACTTGACTGTCCCGCAGATGCCTGTTTCATCTATATTTACCAATATGAGCCATACCTGCGGGACCCTGTGGCCTACCCAAAGTTGCAGGTGAGAGGACAGGTGGGAGGAGAGGACCATGGTCCTGCCCCAGCTTCTCTGAAGCAGTTGCCTGAAGCCCATGCCAGCCAGGCAGATGCGCAAGCAGACTTCAGGTACCGTGGAATCCAGGTGCTCAAGGACACACCCCAGAACCACTCCAGGGGTTCATCCATCCTCTTGGCTACCCTAAGATTTAAGAACATGTTTCATTCAGGCTCGTATTAGCCCAGCCTGAATGACATGCCCCTGTCAATCATATTAGCCTTGGAAATAGGGTGTTCTAACTTGCTGGGCCAGAGTCCTTTACTGTCTCTGCAGCTGAGTGCACACTTGCTGTGTGTGATAGGAGAGTACCTACCCTGTGTCCTCATAGGCTGTGGTCTCCCCTAGATGCTGATGTATTTGTTCTATGCTCTGCCTTTCTACTGCCTGGCTGCCTATGCCCTCATCTTCCCCGGCTGCTCCTGGCTGCCAGACTGGGCCTTGGTATTCGCTGGAGCCATTGGCCAGGTAGGGGTAGTGATGATGGACCCCAGGCCCATTGCCCCAGAATTCCCTCGGCTCGGGGAGATGGCCAGATATACAGATAGTGCTAAGCTTAGTCAGAGTTGGAGAGAATCATCATAGGATATGGCTCAGTGGCACAGGGCTGGCCCAGTGCGTGCAGAGACCTAGCTTCCATTCCCCAGCACTGGGAAACAAAAACAAAAAACAAACAGAACCTCGATGGGAAGGAGACCCAGGAGTTGAGAGAGATCTTAGAGTGGAACGATTGAAACCCATGAAGATAAAGGCAGGGAAGGCCATCCATGAATGGGGACAGCACAGGAAGACAGCAAAGAGGGTATCAAGGGAGAGAGACAAGAGAAATTGGAGCCGGGCGTTGACGATTATGAACTCTAGGTTCTGGGCATTTGAGAGAAGGTGGGGAGCCCCGGGAGGGGTTTGAGCAGTAGAGGGCTCAGAGCTATTTCTGGTTTCCCGGGAGGAAGAGAAAAAAGCCTTGACCCAGCCACGGCAAGGGGACCGAGGAAGGAATCTTCATCGATAACAGTTGTGAGGAGGAAGAGTGGGACCAGGTCAGAGGCAGGGAAGTTAGAGCTAAACAGTGTCCGGGAGGGCAGTGGCCGGAGGGGGCAGTCTGACCTGTGTCCCTTCTTTCTGCACCCGCGCCAGGCACAGTTCTCACATATGGGTGCTTCCATGCACCTGCGCACACCCTTCACCTACCGCGTGCCGGAGGACACCTGGGCCGTCTTTCTTCTGAGCAACCTGCTGTATGCGCTGGGGCCCCACCTGCTGGCTTTCCGCTGCCTGTGGCGGCCAGCCTTCTTCATGCCCACACTGCCCTTGGCGCCCCAGGGCCAAGACAAGAAGCAGCAGTGAGCATGTGCACCTCTCTGCTAAGAGCTCAACCTGTACAGCCTGCCTTGTCCTCCAAGGGTGGAGTGGACCTTTAAAGCTGGATAGACATCTGGAGAAGTTGCAATCCATGCCATGAAGGAGTGTGGGAGACCCACGACAAGGTGTCTCTCCTGCGATTTACCCATCACCTCCCCCATCCTTCTAATAAAAGCCCTTTTTGTGCCTAGGACATCACTGATTGTTTCAGGGAGCTGTAGCAAAGGATCATCTACTTGCACCCCGAAATGGGATAGCAGGGTGCTTACAGCCACTGTGGCTGCCCGGAAGCAGAGGGGCCAGGACTCTCAAAGTCAGCCTCTCAGTGGGTACAAAACTCCATGTTCCAGCTGGGAAAACTGAGGCTCAGAAGGACTGAGACATGCAGCGGTCACACTGGGAAGAAGCATAGCACAGAATGGGCTGTGGGTGCAGCTCAGTCACCCACAGAGTGCCTGCTGGCCGTTCATCAGGGCCCTGGTTTGCTCCCAATACCTCATGTGCAGTGGGACACACCTGTTGTCCTGGCACTGGGGAGGTGGAGGCAGGAGGACCAAGGGTCAGGGTGTTTGGCCACATAGCAAAGTGGAGACCAGCTGGACTATGTTCTCATCCCTCCACACAGGGGCCATATGTCAGTCAGTAAAGTGCATGAAGAGCTGAGTTCATGGGCCCAACACCCAGGTAAAAGCCAGCGATTGTGGGGACAAATCTGTAACCCAGCCCTGGGGCAAGGGTGGGGAGAGGGATCCCCAGAGCTCACTGGCCAGCCAGCCACAGGTTCAGTGACATACCTTAACCCAAATCAGAGAGAAGCTGGGAGTGGTGGTGCATGCCTTTAATCCCAATGCTCAGGAAGCAGAGGCCAGCCTAGTTTACATAGTGAGCTCCAGGCTAGTCAAGGTTGTCTCAAAAAACAGAGAAAAGGCTGAGAGCTAGTGAGGAAGATACCTAATGCTGACCTCTGACCTACACACACCTGTACATTCACACACAAGTGCAATACAAACACTTACCACACACAAAGAGGGGAGAGAGAGAGAGAGAGAAGAGCATAACTAATCAAATAGTGAAGTTTCTAGGCATCTGGAGAATGCCATGCAGGCTGCTGCCCTGGGCTTGCACATTCTCTGAGACTGCAGGAAGTGAAGGTTCTAACTGAGCCGAAGCCTATCTTGGCTCACTTTCCAGAGCTGCTGAGGCTAACTAGGCAGGAAAGCGCTGGAAAAGGATTCTCTAGTTCTGTTTTTTAGACTGGAAATTGTGTGAGGAGTGGAATTGAAGGATGAAGAGGGCACAGTGCCCCCGGCAGGATCCAGTGTCTTCCTGGCTTCTAGCGGGAACACAGCCACCACGGCAGACTGCCTAGCCTGGAGATGCATGCGGGCTGAGTGAGCACAGGGCTCCCTGGGTGCCAAGGACAAGTGGAACTGAGACCTGTGGGTCCCTATGCTGGAGCCTAGGTTTCCAGGGTGCTTGCCCAGTGAGCAGATGGGTAAACCCAAGCCCCTGCAGCCAAGCCAGTGTGTTCCTACCAGTGCAGGGGAATCATTCTATCATTCTAGAAAATTGATACAGCATCTGGTCATGGAGCCCAGGCTAGCCTCAAACTTGCTGGCCTTCTGCTTTAAGGCACAGTGCTAGGAGCCTGTGCCTCCATGCCTGGCTTTCCTAGTTGTTGTTGTTGTTTTTTTTTTAAAACAAAACAAAACAAAACAAAACAAAACCCAAGATCTTTGTGTAGCCCTGGCTGCTCTGAAGCTCGCTCTGTAGAAGACAAGGTCTTATGTAGCCCAGGCAGGCCTTAAATTCCCAATGTAGCCAAGGTAACTAACTTACCTCCCTCAGTTTTTAAAAATATTTATTTATTTATTTATTTTACAATGTTGTCTGCATGTATACCTGCACGCCAGAAGAGGGCACAAGATCTCATTATAGATGGTTGGGAGTCATGATGTGGCTGCTGGGAATTGAACTCATGACCACTGGAAGCGCAGTCAGTGTTCTTAACCTCTGAGCCATCTCTCTAGCTATTTACTTTTTAATTTTATGTGCATTAGGGTGAAGATGTCAGGTCTCTTGGAACTGGAGTTACAGACAGTTGTGATCTGCTATGTGGGTGCTGGGAATTGAACCAGGGTCCTTTGGAAGAGCAGACAGTGCTTTTAACCACTGAGCCATCTCTCTAGCCCTCTCCCTTCCCCTAGTTTGTTTTTTTGAGACAAGTTCTCTCATTATGTAGCTCTGGTTGTCCTGGAACTTGCTTTGTAGATCAGGCTGGCCTCAAACTCACAGAGATCAGCTTGTGTCTGCCTTCAGAAATGTTGGGATTAAAGGTGTACACCACCACGAAAGCAGCAAATGTGTAGCCCAGGCTGGCTTCTAGCTCATGATCCCTCTGCTCCTCTTGTCTGTTTAGCATGTCTCACCAACATGCACAGCCACAGCTGGCTGTACTTTGAACTTCTGACTCTGCTTCAGCCTCCCTGCTGCTGAGGGGAAAGGTAGGCGCCACTACCCTGTCTTTTTTTTTTTTTTTTTTTAATACATTATTCTGCCTGCAAGTGTGCCTGCACGCCAGAAGAGGGCACCAGATGCCAGTAGACATGGTTATGGGCCATCATGTGGTTGCTGGGAATTGAACGCAGGACCTTTGGAAGAACAGACAGCTCTCAAACTCTGAGCCATCTATCCTTGTTTTAAGAGGCCCTGGGGAACTCTCCTCCAGCCAAGGCTCAGTTCCAGCCTCCGGCTGATCCATGGCCTGGGTATAGGCCAGGCTAGGTTCAGGCATGCTGTACACCTCCCTCAGCCTTTTAGTGCCGAGATTACAGACTGTGGCTCCAACCCTGCATCCTTCTTCCCTTTGTGCCTTCTCATCCTGGGCTGGTCTAGAGCGCCATACCAAGCAGAATATGACTTTAAACTGATGAACAACCGTGAGTCACCACCATAAAACGAAGCGCGAGTCGAGGCGGCAGGGAGGCTGGTGCACTGGCTTGGCCAACCAGCCTCAGTTCACCCGTCTGCTCACTGCGTGGCTACCTGGGACTCCTCGGCTGCAGGACGCCTGTCATTACTGGCGTGGAGTGCCAACTCGGGCCTCTGCGACTCCTCCGCTGGCCAAGGTATCGGAAAGGGTGCAGTGGGTCACTGTCGTCGTGCAGCAGCTAAGCAGTGCGGTGCGCACGCGCGGCCCGTTCGCTACCCTACGCGCCCTCCTCCCCTTGCAGGCAGACGCCGGGATTGCAGTAGCCCGCGGGAACTGCGGGCTAGATCGCTGTGCGCGTGCGCAGTCGGGAAGCGCACCGGCCGCTCGGCGGGGGCCACGACCAGGATGGTGAGTGTGGTGCTGGCACTGGGTTCCCGAATCTCCCATTTGTCTGTCCGTCTCCTCTCTGCCTCTCTCCTTCCTCTCCTCTCTTCCTCTTGCCTCTTCTTTTCTTTTTCTTTGGCACTTCCCCCTTCTCGGCCCCTGCAGCGTCCCCCCCGTTGTTTTGGAGGGGTGGGGGAGGAGAGTGCTCACTTAGTCCTTTCCCTGTCTCTTCATACCAGTCTCTCCTTCCTCTACCTCTGTCGTTCTCTGCATCTCCGATTCTGCATCTCTGTCTCTGTGTCTCGTCTCTCCGTCTCGTCTGTGTCTCTGCGTCTTGTCTCTGGGTCTTCATGTGTCCCTCGCACAGTCTCTCCTGGACTGGCCAGTAGCCCGCTGTCCCCAGCCCCCGCTCAGGCTGCCGGGTTGCTGCAGTCTCCTGGCGCGCAGATAACCTTGCGGCCGGTGCTCGCGGCTGCGCCCCGTGCGTGCGCTCCCGCGGCGGGGGCGGGGACTTAGGGAGAGCCGAGGGCAGTCTCCCGAGCCCCGGGGCAGCTTCGCGGACCCCGTCGGCGGGGACCCCTTTGGGGAGGGCAGGCGGAGCTAGGGGTGGTCGAAGCAGCACGGCGGGACGCAGGTCCTGTGTCCGCAGGCGTGTGCTCCGGCGGCCGTCGGTCCCCGCGCGCTCTGGGCTGTCGCCTGGGGGCTCCTGCTGCTGGTCCCCTCGCCCGCCGGCGCGCAGCGGGGCAGGAAGAAAGTCGTGCACGTGCTGGGTGAGTCTCGTTCGCTGGTGGCCCTCCCTCCTCTCCCCCAACACACAGGCGGTGGCGACGGGGGTGGGCTGGGGTGGCGGATTGCGGTGGTCCCTAACTCGGGGTCCTCGGAGCTCCTTTCCCATCGCAGGCCTACGCCCCCCTCAGGGCCCTTCCCGCTGACCTTTGACCCCTGCTTGGTCGCCCCGCAGAGGGCGACTCGGGCTCGGTGGTGGTGCAGACGGCGCCCGGGCAGGTGGTGAGCCACCGCGGCGGCACCATCGTGCTACCCTGCCGTTACCACTACGAGGCGGCTGCCCACGGCCACGATGGCGTCCGCCTCAAGTGGACGAAGGTGGTGGACCCCTTAGCTTTCGTCGATGTCTTCGTGGCTCTGGGTCCTCAGCAACGAGCCTTCGGTGCCTACCGAGGGCGGGCCGAGCTGCAGAAAGACGGGCCGGGGGACGCCTCCCTGGTCCTCCGAAACGTCACCCTGCAGGACTACGGGCGCTACGAATGCGAGGTCACCAATGAGCTGGAGGATGACGCCGGCATGGTCAAGCTGGATCTGGAAGGTGACCGCAGCATGAGCAGAGAGAAAGGGGACAATGCGGGACAAGCAGAATTAATGCGGCACCGTAGAGATTTCGCTGGGCAGGAGGATAATAGTTCATTGAAAAAGTTTATTACAGCTTTAATTTATACGTATGTATGTATGTGACTATATGCCAAGTACACACATGTGGTCGAGGCCAGAGAGGCCTCCGATCCCCGGAGCTGGAGTTACAGGTGTTTGTGAGCTTCCTGATATTGGTGTCTTGGGAACAGAACGCTCAGAGGCTGGAACACAAGCAAGAGCCCCACCCCCACCCCGAGTGCCTCTTTTTTATTCCTTCCGTTCTAGATAAGGTATCATTATGTAGCCCTGGCTGTCCTGGAACCCACTATGTAGACCAGGCTGGCCCTGAATTTACAGAGGTCCGCCTGACTCACAAGTGAAGGGGTCCAAGGCAAGGGCCACTGTCCCTGGCCTGAAGAAGGTGTGTTTGTTTGTTTGTGTTTGTTTTAACTGAGCCATCTCTCCAGCCACAGCTTTATGATTAAGACAGGGTTTATTTAGTGAAGCATGGGTTGGCTTTGAACTCATGATCTTTAAAGAAAAAACTATTGAATTTGTAGTGTGTGAGAGAGAGGGAGATGCACCTGCTGTAGTGCTTTCATGGAGGTCACAAGCAGCTTGCAGAGCGGGTTCTGTACCAAGTGGGTCCTGGAAGAGAACTCAGCTTGTCAGGCTTCATGGCAAATGCTCTTACCTTCCAAGCCATTTCATTGGCCTCTCTGAACATCTTAACAATGGCAAATAATAGCTGTCTTCATTAGATTGCTTTCTGTTTGCCAGCCACTTCGCTGAAAGGCTCTCTGGAGTTTCTCATTTAATTTCCCCAAATCCCCAAGGTAGACAGCTATTAACCTGGAGATGAGCTCTGTCTCAAGGAAGCTATGACGCTGCCCTGGGAATCTGTAAGTGAGGGAAGTGGCCGAGATTTCACATCCTGTCCACCAAAGTTCTAGGTCTTCACCCTGGGTGGAGTTTGTATCCTGTCCTGGGATTGCTGAAAGCAAGAGGTTAAGCCCAAGCCCTGACCTTTTTTAATAATTTATTTGTTTTTATGTCCATGGCTGTTTTGACTGTACATATGTCTATAGGACGGTGTTGGATCTCATGGACCAGGAGTTATAGACAGTTGTGAGCTGCCATGTGGGTGCTGGGAATTGAACCCAGGTCCTCCTGAAGAGCAACTAGTTCTCTTAACTACTGAGCCATCACTGTCCTTAGGCACTGAAATGTCCCAGAGCTGGGCTGATTGCGTTTAGGGAGAAATCAGTTCAGACTGAAGTTGGAACTGAAGCACTTTAAATAATACTGGCAAATCAAAGGGCTCAACACCCTGCCCAACCCTTTCAGGGGCCAGCATGCAGGAGTCCTGCGCTAGGAACAGGCTTTTCCAGTACCACGGTCACTTTAGGAAGGATTCTGTTCTAGTGCATTGGGACCAAAGACGATTAAGAGATGAGTTTTGACAGCCAGATGCAGTGGTGCACGCCTGTAATCTCAGAGGCAGGTGGGTTCTCTGTGAGTTCGAGGCCAGCCTGGTCTACAAAGCAAATCAGGGTCAGCCAAGGCTACACAGAGAAACCCTGTCTCAAAAAACAAACAAACAAACAAGAACAACAACACAGTTGGGTTTTGAAGGATGAATAAGAGGCAGGTGAAGAACAGAAAGAACATGAGCAAGGAAGGGTCTGTGACCGCAGAAGAGAAGTCCCAAGTTTAATTCAGAGGACCTATAATGGGTGTGAGCTGGCCAGAGGTGCGGCCAGTTCTGAAGGCCAGAGAGAAGAATGAATTAGGTTCTGGTTCATGTAAGGTGCATGAGAATCCGGGAGGAAGGGCACCCTAACAAACTCCTGTTCGTTTTTATCCAGGCGTGGTCTTCCCTTATCATCCGCGCGGAGGCCGCTACAAAATGACTTTCGTGGAAGCGCAGCGCGCCTGCGCCGAGCAGGACGGCATTCTGGCGTCCGCGGAGCAGCTGCACGCGGCCTGGCGCGATGGCCTGGACTGGTGCAATGCGGGGTGGCTACGCGATGGCTCTGTGCAGTACCCAGTGAGCCAGGCCCGGGAGCCCTGTGGCGGAGCTGGGAGCCCTGGGGCCGGCGGCGGCCTCAACGGGGGTGTGCGCAACTACGGATATCGTCACAACGCTGAGGAGCGCTACGATGCCTTCTGCTTCACGTCCAACCTCCCAGGTGGGTTAAGCTTTTCCCCGTGAAGAAGGTGTCCAGAAGAGGGGATCTCTAGAAGGAGGTCCGCCCCAGGTCCAATGCCCCGCCCTCGGGGGAACCCTACCCCAAGCGCACTAAGTGCACCCTTCGAGGAAGACTGGCCCTAACCGCCTATCTCTAGGGCCCACTTCAGAGACAAGAGCTTAGGCCCAATCTTCTAGGGCATAGGCTCCTCTCTTGAGGGAAGACTCCCTCCCAATAGGCTCTGTCCCAAGGACAACGGCTCATTTCGAGTGCATGAGCCCCGCCTCCTAGAGAAGGCCAGTCCGGAATGCATAGGGCCGTTTGGAGGTTGGTGGTTGAGGTCCGTTTCAAGACCCTCTCCCCCAAAACACAGATCCTAAAGACACGGGCTCAGTCCACTGGCGGAAACTTTCCAAAATAGACGTCCCGCTCCAAGCAGGTGGCCTGCACAATGGGCGGAGATCTCCCTGGTGTGCATAGACCCTGCCTCCAAGAGTATGGGCCCCACCCCTAAGTGAGCAGGCTCCGCGCCCTCCTCCTGGCCCTGAGTTACTAGAAAGGCGGCTTACCAGGGCTGCCACAGGGGGCAGTGTATTGCCACATGGCACCGGCATCGCACTGGAAGAAGCGGAGGTCCCAGATTGCAGGGGATGGGATGGACCGGGAGCTGGAAGCCCCGGGCTGCAGGAGCTCGGCGGGCCCATCCCGGCCCCTACTGACACGCTCCTGGGTCCCGCAGGCCGCGTGTTCTTCCTGAAGCCGCTGCGGCCGGTGGCCTTGGCAGGGGCGGCGCGCGCGTGCGCGGCGCGGGGTGCGACGGTGGCCAAGGTCGGGCAGCTGTTCGCTGCGTGGAAGCTCCAGCTGTTGGACCGCTGCACGGCAGGCTGGCTGGCGGATGGCAGCGCGCGCTACCCCATCGTGAATCCGCGAACTCGCTGCGGGGGCCCTCGGCCTGGCGTGCGTAGCCTCGGTTTCCCCGACGCTTCCCGACGCCTCTTCGGTGTCTACTGCTACCGTGCTCCGGGCGCCCCAGACCCAGCTCCAGGCGGCTGGGGCTGGGGCTGGGCGGGCGGAGGAGGCTGGGCCGGAGGATCCAGGGACCCGGCTGCCTGGACCCCGCTGCGTGTCTAGGACCGGGAGGATGCGTTTGTATGTTGGGAGCTGATCCAGTGGCCCACACAATCCCTGGATACAGACCACTTCTCGAAGATCCCTTGGACACGTGACATACCTGTGCAGTGCGCTGCAGGCTGACCCAGCTACCTGTGGTCTTTGGACACTGGACACACCTCCTAAGATTTCCTGGGTGTGTGATGCACCCTGTGGTGACCAGCAGGCTGACCCACCTGTTGTGAGCTTTGGTCGTTGACTATGCCGCCCTCTGAAGTTCCCTGATAGTGGCCAAGCCCACTTCTTTGGATAGTGGATGTCCAATCTCCCAGACTTTGTCTAGAAGGGCCACGCTCTCCCCCAACCCCCAGGATCCCAGTAGATCAGCAGGACCCAGTTTCCTAGAGAGGAGCCACCCTTCTGTGGCCTCCTGGAAAACAGGTGGACACCCCCTCAGTCACCTGGAGGCTGGACCCCCAGGATTAACTGGCCACACAAACCCTCTGTATCTCCGGGGAGCTGGAAAGCTGGTCTTGGATAGTCAGCTGTCTACTGACGTCTCCCATCATCTGGTGAAGACACAGAAAACTCCAGATCACGTGGGGATCAGGCCCTGTGCTGTCGGGTGACTCGGAGGCCGGCTACACTCTTCCGGAGTCTCTAAGTCTGCCTTGCGCCCAGTCACTATGGAGGACAGCTCCAACGCCTCTGGCCTCATGGGAGAATACCTCCAGCTGGCTCCCAGGAGCAGTGGCCATGCCTACCCTCAGGTATTTCTCTGGCTGGAGTGTAGACTCACCTGAATGTTCCTTCCCTTTGCTCCTCGAGGGCTGTCACCAAAGAGATCATTCCCTCAGACCAGAAACCCCTAAAAATGTTACTTGTAGAGACAAACTGCTCGGTTTCTTAAGGACACAAAGGCCACCAGTGTGGCCTTACCTGTTCTGTTACTCATGATACCCGCCTTTCTCCATAACCATGGCTATCGAACTTTTCCTTTCTCTCTGGCCTAGAGCCCAGACACCTACCACTAAATTTATGGCTATCCCTGCCCTGATATCCACCATCTTCCCCATTGCATGTCCTCAGGGTCACCCAGCATTCCATTCTCCAGGCCTCTCCATGGAAACAGCTGCAGCTTTCCCAATATGCACCTCCCACTCCTCTCGGCCATCCAGGCCCCACCCCCAGACAGCTTGGACCTCACAACTGTTGCCTTGGAGACCAAACTCTAGTGTCCAAGGTAACAGAACACCTGTCTCTCCAAGGCTTACCCTTCAGGGTCCTGTCCTACTCAGCTGTTGCCATGGAGACCGGCAGTGTCTCCATGACAACTGATCTGCAGATCTCAGGAACTTCTTGGCCATGGGCAGAGTGCCTCTTACTGGAGTCGCCTACTGTGTCCCTTCTTCAGATGGGCTCAGGCAGGACTCTGCTTCTGGAGCAGCTGCCTGCCACCAACCCTTTGCATGATTACTCCAGCAGGCAGCCACTGAGCATGAGCCGCCGCTGCAACCCCCTCCAGCACTTTAAATTATGGCCCCTCGGAAGAGGAAACTGAGGCTGTGGTACTGCACAGGCCAGAGCTTTCCTTCCTTGGAGATCAAAGAGGATGGAATGTACCTGAACTCACCAATTCAACCAGTTTCTGATGGCCCGTGTGTGCTCAAGAGTCAAGACCAGCTCAATCAGTCACAGCCCAAAGACTTGTGTATGGACAGGGCCATCACAGATGCAGCCCTGAGGAGCTGCTTGGAGCAGCGAGCACCCTTGCCCACACGCACCTTCCTGCCTGTCCCATCTATCTTGGAAAAACCCACCCTTGAGACTGGAAGCCAGGTGGCTGTGGGAGCAAACCCCACCTTTTGTTCTAAAATGTGCGACCAAGTGGCAGGACTTGTCCAGGACCAGGATTGTTCTGAGTTCCACAGTCTGCAGCCCAGGGTTCAATAAACCTTTGTTCCTTTTAATGAATGAGAACATGGCTGCCAGGTCCCTTTGTCATCAGTGCTGTGGGCTTCTCAGGCCAGGTTGGAAAGCAGCTTCTTTTTTTTTTTTTTCACTGCCCCCCAACAGAGACCCTGGGAGACACCCTCTGACCTCATGTGCACTGTGGCATGTGTGTGTACCCATACATAACAATAACATGTGATTTTAAAATGTTAAGTCAGGATCTGGTTGTAGGACTGAGATACGTGTGTGTGTGTGTGTGTGTGTGTGTGTGTGTGTTTTGAGGCAGGATTTCTCAGTGTAGCCTTGGCTCTCTTGAACTCGCTTTGTAAACCAGGCTGGCCTTTAACTCACAGTGAGCAGCCTGCCTGTCTCCCAGAGTGCTGAGATTAAAAGTGTGTGCCACCATGATCGGCCCTATAATTTTTAATTTTTATTTATTTGTTTGTTTATTTTGAGGCAGGGTTTCTCTGTGTAGCCCTGGCTGTCCTGGAAAATGCTATGTAGAACAGGCTGGCTTTAACTCAGAGATCTGCCTGCCTCTACCTACTGAGTGCTAAGATCAAAGATGTGCGCCAGTTTTTATTTATTTTTAAATTTATGTGTGGTTTGTCTGCACTTCATGGGTCCCTGGTGCCGCTGGAAGCCTGAAGAGGGAGCTGAGCCCTAAGACTAGACTGACCGGTGGTTGTGGTGCTGCCTTTGAACCCCAGTCCTCTGGAAGAGCAGCCAGCACTCTTGGTCACTGAGCCCTCTCTCAGTTCCTAAATTTCCCTGTTAACTTTGTGTGGGAGAGTGTACCAGGAGCCAGAGGACAGGACGCAGTCTCAGTGGTTGGCATTCACGCAGTCCTGGACCAATCAGGATTACTCTGGGGAACGGGCCTTGCCCGAGCTGGAAGGGGTAGCTCCACCCCCTCACTCTCATCCAATGAAAATAAAAAACTTCACATGCACTGGAAAGCTCAGAAGCTGGACCCCACTTCAGGAAGATTTATCTAGAGATCCAGTCCTACTCTGATACATGCTGTCCCAGCACGCGGTACCCAAATAAGCTGGAGATGGCACACACCTTTAATTCTAACACTCTGAAGGTAGAGGCAGGTAGTTCTCTGAGTACAAGGCCAGCCTGGTCGATATCAGAGGTTCTCAACGTGTGGGTCGAGACCCCCCACAGAGTTGTTTTGTTTTGTTTTGTTTTGTTTTTTAATATATATATCTCTTTGTTGTTGGTTGGTTGGCTGGTTTTTCAAGACAAGGTTTCTCTGTGTAGCCCTGGCTGTCCTAAAACTTGCTCTGTAGACCAGGCCGGCCCCTAACTCAGCAAGCCCCCTGCCTCTGCCTCCTGAGAGCTGGGATTACAGGCGTGTGCCACCACACTTGGCTCACAGTTCTTGTCCCACCACTCTATAGGCTGAGGCAGGAGGATTGCTGTGAGCTCTAGGGCAGCCTGGGCCACAGAGCAGGACAATCAGTCAATAGGAACCCTCTGATTCTGCATTTCTAGCAGGCAGTTCAGAGCTGCACTTCTCCAGAGGTGTGCAGTTGTGTTTGTCTGTTTTGGACAGGCTGGCCTTCCCGCCTCCGCTTCTGCGCTGCTGGCAGGCGCTGTGCGCTGTGCTGCTCTGTTCCTTATCTAGAGATATGCGCTCGCTGGTTACTTTTCTCCTCTCTGTGGCCAGATGCCAGAGGAAATCAGGGGAGGGAGCGTTTATTAGATTCTCAGTCTGTCACAGTGGTAGCACCGCGATGGCAGGGCACACGGGTCACATTGTGCCCACAGGAAGGAGGCCCAGTGGTGAGTGCTGCTGCTCCCCTTGTTTCCTCCTTTCTCACACCACTTTGTGTGTGTGACATTTCTATATTTTGTGGGGGGAGGAGAGAACCCGCTCATGGTCCCCTTATTGTTCTCTCCCTCTACCACATGGGTCCAGGAACTGAATTAAAGCCGCTGGCTTAGCCTCAGGCACCTTCCCTGGCACAGCCATCTTGCCAGGCCCCTGCTGCTTTTACATCACTCACAGTTTTTCACGATTTTGGTGTTTTCTCTTCTCGGGTCAAAACTGTGGCCATGTCTTCCCTCCAGCTCCTGTTTGCCTCATTCCATCCACCTTGCCTGTCATGCACATGCACTCCTGGGGGGCTGGGGCAGGCAGATCTCGAGTTCAATGCCAACCTGGGGCACATAGTGAGACCTCGGGGGGGGGGGGGGGTTAGTGGTGGTGCACGCCTTTAATCCCAACACTCAGGAGGCAGAGGCAGGGGGATCTCTGAGTTAGAGGTCAACCTGGTCTACAGAGTGAGTTTCAGGACAGGCAGGGCTACACAGAGAAACCCTGTCTTGAAAAAATTCTGCTCTTCTCTACTTTCCTTCTGCACCCTGCACAGTATATGGCTCTTGATAATTGCTCATGAGCTGTGGCTGCGGCTCATTTAGTGGGATGTTTGTGCCCCAGTTAGCAGAGTGCTCTGCTAGCATTCACAAAGTTCCCAGCACCCCAAAAACCAAGCATGTCAGCTCGCGCTTTTAATCCCAGCACTGGGGAGGCAGAGACATAGAGATCTCTGAGTTTGAGGCCAGCCTTGTTCACAGAGAGAAACCTTGTCTCAACAAACAAAAACCAGCTGATTAGGAGTTCAGGACCATCCTCAGATACACAGAGAATCTGGGCCAGCCTGGGCTCCATGAGACATCACTTCAAGGAAGCGCCAGTGCCCAGGGGATACAGGCAAGTGAATGGGTGAGGGGACAGTATCGGGGCAACGGGCAAGTTGAACTGTTAAAAAATTTATTAAAATGTCCAAGAAGTACATTAACATCCACAGTGTCAGATACCACATATCCACGGAACATCAACGCTCCCAGAAGAAAATCCAGCAGAGCGGGCAGCTGTTCACACTTCCTCATATGAGTGGCCCAAGCAGAGCACACCACGGAGGTGAGGAGCTGGAGATGAGCCTTCCCTCCAGAAGAGCCCAAGGTCCCCTTCACGGAGCAGGTAGGGCTGGCCCAGGGAGCAGCCACTGCGCAGGGAAGACAACTGTGTCCCCAGCCACAGCCAGAGGCCTGACAGTGCTGGATACAGCAGGGACCATTAGGGATCAGGGTCCAGTTTGCTTTTCTCAACCATTTTCCACACTTGCTCTGTGTGTGTGTGTGTGTGTGTGTGTGTGTGTGTGTATGAGAGACAGAGAGAGAAGAGAGAGAGTGTGACAGTGACAGCAGGTAAGAGGTTTCAATCTCCTCCTTCATACATAAAGCAAAAATTGGGAGCACAAATCAAGACCAGGGTTTGGGAATGGAGCTCAGTTGACAGTACTTGGAGCTCAGTTGGTAGAGTGCTTGGAACTCAGTTGGTAGAGTGCTTAGAGTTCAGCTGACAGACAGCTTAGTGCAACAAAGCTCATTCATAGTAGTGCATTCCAGCATTTGGGGAAACTGAGGCAGAAGGATTGGGAGTTTACGGCTATCCTCAGCTACACAGTGAATTCAAGGCCAGCCTGTGATATATGAGGCTCTGTCTGAAAAAACAAAACACAACAACCTTACGGCAATTACAACGCGCAGAACAAAATCCTCCCTCTAGCACTGTCTGCAACTTTGTCTTTCTCTTATCATCATGTGTAAAACAGGAGACTACAGGCCACCAGGGCTGATGAGAGGACTCAGGGCATCTCCCAAGGCTTTGGGTGGTGGCTTCTACTCAGCAACTGCCCCAGGCTTTCATTACCTCCCGTGAGGGACACAGGCTCAGTAAACAGTTCTGTCTGTACTGATCCCTTAGGTAGGCCATGCATTTGCTTGGGAAGAGCTGGGCATGGTGCCCAGGACCTGCGCAGGTCTGCCAAGCACTCATCCCTGAGCCGCCCCGCCCCACTAGCTCCCACACTTCCTGAAATTTTTACTTATTTATTTTGTGCTTGTGCGAGTGTGTGTGTGCATGTGGTGGTGAGGATTGTGCGTTGGGGGGCTCGCCCGTGTGGCATGTGGTGGTCGGATGGCTCCCTTTAGGAGCTGGTCTGGCCTTCCGGGTGTTTCTGCTGGGTGCCATCCTCAGCCTCATCCTCCGGGCTAGCTGGCTCACAAGCTCCCTGTCCGTACATCCTCTTTCACAATAAGAGTGCAAGGATTACAGAGTCACGCCCCCCCCCCCCCCCCCCCCCCCCGCCCACAGCTTTTCTTTTTTAAAGCATGAGTTCCAGGGATTAATGTGGCTTCTTCAGGCTTATGCAGCTAGCATCTTTACCCACAGGGCTGTGCTCAGGCCCCGAACTTGGGTTTCAACACACAGATTCTACCCAGACTGGAGGGGCTGAAAGAGGACAGGAGCTCAGGAGACAAAGGTCTGACCCCGTCCCCAGCTTGGAGGAGTCTTTTCTCAGGTGAAAATGGAAAGAAGGAGCGAAAGGTGGATTCTGTCACAGTTTTTAAAATGTAAAATGAGGTGTATGGATTCTTGCTTCTAAGACCACTTGTCTCTACAACAGGACAGTGAAGAGGGGTCTCTTCAAGTTGTAAGCATTACCAGTGGGCCAGGCAGGATTTGGAGACAGGAACGGGGTGACGGGTGGGATCTGAGGCAGGGGACTTACTGAGGTCTGCTGAAGGGGTTTAGTAAAGACAGGCTCAGGGCTAGAAAATGTGGCACCATCTTGGTTCAGGCAGGAGGTTGTGTGTCTCCCTGAGAGATGGAGGGGGAGGGATGCAGCAGCCTCTACTGTGTACTGCAGTGATCTCATTTACACACACACACACACACACACACACACACACACACACACGGGTGAGAGATCTGTCATCATAAACCCACAAAGCTGCCACACGTGATGGTGCATGCCTGTCATCCCAGCACTCTGGCTGAGAAAGGAGGATTGCCATGGGCTGAAATGCAGCCTGGGTTACAGAGTGAGAGCCTATGTCAATAAACCAAAAGAAGGCTGAACATAGTGACCTCAGCACGGAGGCTGGGGCAGGCAGAGCGATAAGTTCCAGGCCAGCCAGGGCTGCACAGTGACGCCCTGTCTCAAATCTAGCAGGCATACGTTAGCACAGCTCCAGACCCAGGGGGAGCGAGCAGTACGAACCTCCAGCCTCCACTGCTCCAGGTAGCCTCCCTGCAGAAGCAAGGAGGCCCGGCTCTAAGAGACATCACTAAAATTCAGTACACAAAAATTCCACACTAGATTTATGCACCAAGACCAAAGACCAGGCTGGGCTTAGTTAGTGGAAAGCACTTGCCTATACGCACAGGCCCTGGGTTCCGTGTCCAGCACCAAATGAACCAGGCAGGCATGGTGATGCACACGTAGGAGAATCAGCCTTAGCTACAATAGTGAGTTCAAGACCAACCTAGTCTATGGGGTGTGGGACAGGGGGAAGGAAGGAGAGAGAAAAAAGAAAGCCAGAGAGATGGAAGACCACCCTTGCGGGCGTGGGACTACAGTGCAGTTCATGTCCACACTGCTGGGCCTCCGCTCTGAAATCCAGTGGCCTTGCGCCAAAGCGGCACCCTGCATTCAGGGTGGGCCACTGTTTACTAAGCCCGAATCTCTGCTGTGAAAGTCACTCCTCAGAACATACAGACAAGCTGTTGCCTCCCATGGACACCTAGTAAGCAGACTTTAGGACCCCTTTTCAGTGGCTGGTAATTGATCCTAGGGGTTCAGCCAGACCAGAGTAGCCTCCCTGCCAGAAGGACCTCAGTAGGGAAGGCGGGGGTGATCTGAGCTTTGTACAGAGGACCAAAAGGGTGTGGGGCTCAGGGGTGTCCCCACCCGCTCTCTCAAGGCTGTCTGAGTTCTGAAGGAGCGTGGGAGTGTGTGCTTGCTTAGCCCGGATCTTCAGCAGAGGTCCTCCCCATCCTTCTCCCAGTCTTCCGCCGGGTGCCTCTTGTGTTTCCTGTGTTCCTTGTGGGGTTTGTGGTGCCGGTGCTGGTGGTGGTGGTGTCTGCGCATCCTGTGTGACCGCCTGGCTGCGGGGATGGGAGAGAGATAAAAGGGTGATGGGTGGTGGGGCAACCGGATGTGGCTGGCCTCCTCAGGGCAATGGGAAGAGAGACAACACTGGGCAGGCCGGGCACAGTGAGAGAGGCAGAGGCAGGAAGAGGCTAGCCAGAGCTGCACCTTGAGATCTTGTCTCAAGAAACCCGAAAAACAAAAAGATACTGACTTGGGGTCCAAAAATCAAAGCAACCCAAGCAGGCACAAGAGTCTACCCAGCAAAGCAAGATCTTTATTTCAGTCAGGAAGCGAAAACTGACCGGTCAGGGACAAACGCACAGGCTCGTGAGCTGGCTGCGTTTTAGGACATTCATCTTACTAGGTATTTAAGCAGATGACAAAAATGTATTGTACCAAGGTCGTCACTGATTGATCAGGGCTGGGAGACAGACTTGGGGCAGAACTGTGACCTGGAGCCAGAATGTAACAGAATTTTTAAGCCTGAAATCCATAAACATCTTTGCCAAGTTCCAGCTACATTTTCCCACCAATCAGGGTTTAGGGATAGGAGGCTTCCTCAGGAGCCTGCCTTTGTGCTGCACTTATCCTGTTCCCACTGGTGAGGTTACTCAGCTGCCCAGAATTCCCATCTCAACTTGGCAACCAGGATGTCAGTTATCCACACATATATCTCTCTCTGCCAATCAGGAGAGGGCTTGCGAACTTGAACTTTATTTGACTCTATTCAAATGGAAATTTTATTCAAAACGGCTTCAGTTTGATTCCTTCTCACAGGCAGGGGCTGCAAATGTGGCTCAGTTTACCAAAAAGCCACATCTGTGGGTGGTGTGGATCTCACTCAGTAGCCCAGGTTAGCCTGGGATCTGCAGCCCCTTTGCACCAGCCTCAGGGCAGCTAAGAATGGGGTCAAATACCCGTCACTTGTCAATGGACACGTGTGTGCCCCTGTCACTCAGCGCTGTGAGGCTGGGAAGCAAACCTTAGTTACATCTCACAACTTTGAGGCCAGCCTGGACTCCATGAAATCCTGTCTCATAAACATACAAACAAAGGCACTAGGTGGCCTGGTAATTTTTCACTTTTTGCTCTGTTACCAGGAAGGCTTTTTTTTGAGACAGGGCCTCATGGAGCCCAGGCTGGCCTCAGACTTACTTTGTAGTAGAGGATGATCTTGAACCCTTGATCCACTTGTCTCTACCTCCTGAGTGCTGGGATGACAGGCGTCACCACCACCCCTACCTTATCACGGAAATAGATGCCCTGGCTTGAGCAACTGAGCTTCAGGCACTCCACCAACCGAGCTACAAGCACTCCACCAACCGAGCCACATCCTCAGCTTAGCTTTCTTCTCCTGTGGGTCGCACACGCAGGCTGATCTCGAGCTCGTAACCTTCCTGCCTCAGCCTCCAGGTTACTGCGGTTACAGGTGCTACACTACTGCACGGGGCTGGGACATTATAATCAGGACAACTGGAATCCTGTCGGCAACAGGTTATTGGGCACAGCACTTACGTTTGGTGCAGACAATCTGGGGCCTGTCCCACTTCCCGTTGTTCCGGCAGCGGATCGTGGCCACGTGGTGCTGGGAGAACCCTTCGTCACACTGATACCGCACGGTGGCGTGGACATTGTACTTGGCTTTGCGCGCCCCGACAAGGGAAGCATTCTCCACTGCTGGAGGGGGACCGCACAGCACTGGGGACAGAGGGTCTCTGGTTAAGGGAGTGGCTACAGGTGAGGCTAAAGCAGTGACACAGCTTGTCGGATGGAAATCCCTCTGCACAGCTCTGAGCTCAGGCCCCTCCCTCTGCACAGCTCTGAGCTCAGAGGCACACATGGCTGTGCTGTCTCTTGCCTTTCACCTAAACCAGGAGCTCCTTGGGGTGGGGGTGGAATCCTCAGGACACACCCCACTCCCTAGGGCATCACACACAAGAAAGAGAAACTGAAACACAAAAGAAAAATGGGCAGAATGCATACAAACGCTTTCCTTCATATGTAAAGACATCTTAGAAATCATTATATGTAAAGACATCTTAGAAATCATTCACAGCAAGACAGGAATTGGGAACTGGTCAGGTCACAGGGAAACAGCCTGGAGTGTCTGGGAGGAGAGGGGAGAGGCGCGGTACCTGTGCCCTTCTTGCAGACATAGGGGAGGTTGTAGTTGCAGGGGACGTCATTCCAGCGCCCGCTCTCGTGAGCCACCATCACCACACAATCCTCTCCACCCGCGAAGAAGTTATCCGGCTGCTTCTCCCTCCAGTTCTCATATTGCTTTGGAGAGAGAGCTGGGGTCACTCCAGTGCTGGCGTGTAGGTCCAGTTTTTGGCACTTCCTGTGTGATTCTTGTGGCCAGACCCCTCCAGGAGGAGACCTGGTGCCCCCTTCTCTGCAGTAGGCTCTAGCCATCATCCCTTCTCCGGCTGGGAGGCTGCAACACCTTCTCTGTTTTCCTTCGTGCCTCCTCTTTCGCTAGCCCCTCACTATTAGGCAAATAGTTGAACAAATGCTGACCCCAGCCTGGAAGTAGAGGAGGGCTTCCCTGAGAAGGAAGCACTGAAGGAGAGGGGCCCCAGGCAGGGTTCCAAGCACAGGGAACAGGTGCAGAGGCTCAGCAGCAGGGAAGGCATCAGTGCCAGATGGTGGAGATACTTGATGGCAGAGTGGGCAAGGCCAGCTCTCACGGCACGGCAGCAAGAGCGGATGGAGGGCTTACAGATTGTGGTAGTCTTGCCTTTAAGCTGGGTGTGATGGCACACGTTGAGACAGGGTTTCTCCGTGTAGCCATGGCTGGCCTAGAACTCACATGGATCCGCCTGCCTCTGCCTCCTGAGTGCTGGGATTACAGGCATGCATCACTGCCCAGCTAGTATTACATTTTAAAAATCTGGGCAGGAGAGATGGCTCAGCACTTGAGCCCTGGCTGTGTGAGTCACCTGACCGTGTGGAGTCTGGAGTTCGACTCTTAACACCCACAGGGAGACTCACATGCTTCTGTGACTCCAGTTCCGGGATTTCTGGTGCCCTCTATTGGCCTCGGCACTACATGTACCTGGCGTACACTATACATGATGGCAAAACTCCCTACACATTACAGAAGCAAATAAAATTTTATGAAAAATTATTCATTTGAGCTACACATGGTGGCACTCACTTTCAATCCCAGCACTCAGAAGGCAGAGACAGGCAAGTCCTGAGTTCCAGGCCAGCCTGCTCTACAAAGTGAGTTCCAGGACAGCCAGGACTACACACTGAGACCCTGGCTCAAACCTTTGTATTTCACATATGCACACCGTTGGAAGACCTTTCTTTCCTTGCACAACGTGGAACCCCAGGGATCAAACTCAGGTTCTCAGGCAGCAAGCCTGCACCTGCTATGTCGCCTCACCAGCCCGCATGTAAAGAATTTAAGAGCCATGGTTTCTGGTGTGACCCCCATTTTTAGTGTTGTATAACCATCTGTATCTATTTCCAGAAAATTTTCATCACGACAAACCAAAATTCCATAGCAATCCAGAAAAAAAATAATTCCTCATTCTGCCTGCCCAGCTCCCGCCTAATTCCCCTCAAAGCCCACCCATGCTTCCACCCCCATGACTCCACTCCACCCACCCTACCCTGACCCCATCCCATGGCGCTATCCACCCCCATAGCCCAACCCCCACCCCTGGCTCCCCTGCAGGCTTCCTCTCTGTGTCCGTCCCTGTGCTGATTTTTTTTCTTACTGATTTTTTTTTCTGAGACAGGGTCTCACTGCTTAACAAAGACTGGTCTACAACTCACTCTGTAGCTCAAGCTCCTGCCTCAGCTCCCAAAGTACTAGGATGTCAGGCAAGCACCCAGTAAGCACATGACTTCAGCGGTATGTGTTTTTAAAATATTTAACAGTGTTGGGACAGAACCCAAAACCTCACATAAGCTAGGCTGAGCCGCGCCCCCAGCCCCACTGCAGTGGGAGTGAGCGTTGTAGGAGGGTCTCTTCTGCTAAGGCACAACCCACGGCTTCTGAGGACCCGCATGAGGCTCCGCAGCCTGAGGACAGGGACCTGCCACTCACCAGTCCCGTGTTGTCTGTCCACTGGAAGTCTCTCTCTACTGTCCTGTCATTCAGGCCGATCCAAGAATTCTCATGTCCAAAACCTGTTGAGAGAAGGGGCTGTGAGAGTGTGCTTCTGCCCCAGAGTAGTGGGGAGGAGATGACAGCCAGGGGCCTCCTTTCTTCCTCAGCCTTGAGGGGACTGGAGCAGGAGCAAGCCTGAGGCCGGTGAGAACCACACCACACACGGTAGAGCTGCCAAGAAGCGAGAACATGGTGGACGAGCAAGGGAGAGATGGGCAGTCAGCACGGGCCTGTGAGTCAGGACACCTGAGCATGAGGGCATGGAGGAGAAAGGACCAGAGTGGGGCTTGGGTGGGAAGGATGGAAGTTAGGAGAAGTAAGTGACTAAGTGTTTGTGGGATGGATGGGAAGGAAGAGGAAGGGGCAAGGAGCCACGCCCTCACCACACACAGTTTGCACAGGTCCAGTGTGCTCTGGAAAGGAGGCCTCAACTTTCCCTAGTCTGAGGGCAGGCTATAGAGGATTGTAGCTAGTGGGGGATTACAGAGGTGAGGTAGGCCCAGAGCCCTGTCCGGCCCTGGGTACAGATGTGAGGAAAGGAGACAAATGCAGCAAAGGTGAGAACAGGCTCAGACCTGTCAGGTGTCTCTGGAAAGGTGGGAGAGGGAGAGGGAGCCACACTAGGCAGTGAGGAGTCAGAAGCCATTTCAGACCATAGATGTGAGAGGTAGGGTTGACACGGTAACCAAAGAGGGTGCCCAGAGGGACAGGGTCAGTGCCACATGGCTAGAGTAATGAGAACCACTTCCAATGCCTGTCACTGCACAGAGGCTCCTCATTCTGTGGAGCCTCTGTCCCATCCCCTGGCTCTAGGAATTTCTCAGTTCCTAGTGTGTTGAAAAGTTATGTGGAATAAAAGGATAAATATGGAAATAATCCAAGCATCAGGTCACGTTATCCACTTAGACTTGCTTGATGGTCAAATGCCTTGTCCCCTCCTGAATGTCACTTCCTGATGACACGCTTGCTTGTCAGTCATGAGGCCTGACCAGCTGGGAAGCTAACATGTGTGCAGAAAATATTTGGGGAGCGTCAGTGAGCTAACACGTGATTCCACAGACATGTGACCCATCATGGAGGCGTGAGTGACTTTCTAAGGGACTGTCTCCAGGGCTCCTGTCACATGACAAGCTCCACGCCAGCCCACTGCTCTGTCCCTACCGTTAATGAACTTGTGCTCCTCTGGCGAGTGGACACTCGTCAGGTGGCCGGCCCGGCGCCTGCAGTCTCTCTCGGCATCTTCCCAGGCCCGCCGGTGGGCGAAGTAGCGGTAGCAGTGGCCCTGGAACTTGTGCCAGCCACGGTCGCAGCCTTCCGTGTCTGCGGGGGGACAGGAGCGTGAGGCTGCAGCACACACACGTGATGCTGACATACGTGCAGCCACACAGCCTCACACATAAAACAGATAGTTAATTAACGTGTTTTCAGTAGGTAAGGGGGACAGCCACCAAGCCTGAGGAGCTGACTGGACATGATGAAAGGATGAGTCCTGAAAGGTTTTCCCAGCCTCCACACACATACCATGGCGTGTGTGCCCTCCCAAGCACATAAACAAAATACGTGTCTTTAAAATGTAATTAAAAAGCAAGCATATAAATGAAGTAATAAAACTAACTTCCGTCCCCATGGGACCAGCCAGACCCAGGGAGACTTGAACGTGTGTCTGGGCAGGGACTTACCCTTCTCACACAGGCTGCCCCCATAGCTGGGCAGGCAGAGGCAGATGAAACCGTTCACCTCATCAATGCAGGTGCCTCCATTCTCACAAGGGCTACACAAGCAGTCGTCGATGTCTGGGAGGAGTGTGATGGTTAGAGGTCAGAGGTCAGCCTCCACTCAGATCCCCACCCACAGGTAGAAGATGGGTCAAGTTTCTTCTAACCATTCCTCTGGATACCCTGGATGGGGATGGCAGGATGGTTCTGTGGCCTCGAGGAGCCTTGAGTAATGAGCACTAGTGAGCATGACGGGCAGCAGGTGCCACCGGACAAAAGTGTGGCACTCTGGCATTCAGGGCTACTGTAGCCAAAAGCTGTCTCCTTTGCACACTGGCAAGTGCCCCAGAACCCTACTGGCAGTGTTTGTAAACAAAACCTGGCAACTCAGTTAACTCCTTTGACCCTGCTCCGTCTGTACGTGAGTGCACACACGTGCACATCCGTGGGAGGCCAAAGGTCAATCTCGGGTGTTGTTATTCAGTTGCCATTCCCTTGGATTTTATTTTATTATTATTATTATCTTGGTTTGTTTGATGCAGGGTTTCTCTGTGTAGACCAGGCTGGCCTGGAACTCAGAGATCCGCCTGCCTCTGCCTCCCTGAGTGCTGGGATTACAGGTGTGCGCCACCATGCCCAGCTCTCACTTTGATTTTTAAATACAATATTTAAAAAGATATTTATTTATCTTGTATGTGTTTGTTTTGTTTTTGAGAAAGGATCTCTCAGCTCTGGCTGTCCTGGAACTCTCTATGTAGACCAGGCTGGCCTCAAACTCATAGAAATCCACCTGCCTCTGCCTCCTGAGTGCTGGGATTTAAGGCATGTTCTACCATGCCCGGCCCTTATTTTTAGGTTTTTAGTTATGACTCTATAATTCCTAACGTGGTTGTGAAGGTAAGGAAAGGATGCATAGTGATCAAGAAATTACACATAGGTGCTGGAGAGGTGGCTCAGAGGTTAAGAGCACTGGCTGCTCTTCCAGGGAACCCAGGTTTAGTTTCCTGCACCCACACAGTGGCCATGTATGTACGTATGCATGTATGTATGTACATGTCTGTCTGTTGCATCATTTGTGTGCATGGCCTGCAGAGGCCAGAAGGTGGCATTGGATCCCATGTAACTGGAATTAGACGAGCCCAAACTAAGTTTATTTTTATTTACACCATTTATATTTAGTGTTGTAATCTCATATTTAGCAGTGTGGGTGCCCACAATGCTGTCCACCGAGATGAGGGTAGTCGCCACAGCCTTTTGCTTGCTGGGAAGCATCTGACCCTTTTGTTGTCCTAATTCTGAAAGCTCTGTTGAGCTACAGCCCCCAGGATGCAGCAGCACATCTACCTCATTTGGGCTCAGCTGGTTTCAGTGCATTCACCCAGACTCACAGGGACAACACAGTGGGCTGCTGGCTTGGCACACTCACCGATCTCACAGTTCTCCCCAGCGTAGCCCCGGTCACAGCTACAGCCGTACATGGTGCCGTTGGCGCGGCAAGTGCCCCCATGCAGGCAGGGGTTGTTCTCGCAGGGCTCTGCAGGGTCTGCAGGGAGGACAGGAAGGGAGAGGGCGGACTGGCAACCATGTCATTTTCCATGGATTTCAGACCTCGGCCCTTGCAGCCCCCTCCGTTACCTCCCCGGGGCACACTGGCCCCCATGCTTTGGATAAAGACCTCACAATTTTGACTGCACTGCAGCCTGTGTGGGGTGTGGGCAGGCTCACAGCAGGGCCCTCTCCCAGGCCATACTAGACTGGCTTACCCAGGGGTCAGAAGAAGACAAACTGCAGAGGTTAACTCTGTCTGTCACCACGTGGGTCTTGGAGCTTGAACTCGCGTCCTCAGGCTCAGCAGCAAGCACCTCTACCCACTGAATCCTCTCAGTAGCCCTATTTGTACTTACTGCTTTTTGCCTTTGTCTCTCCTGACAGCAGTGACATTCCAGATGGCAGCCGCACACCTCATTCACACTTACACTAGTTAAATGAGCTGACACATGCAGTCCTAGGAGCCACATGTCGCTTTGACCACTCAGAGAGTGCAGTGGTAGAGTATCAGCTTCCGAGGCACAGAACGCAGCAGGCACACAATCGTTCCTGCCTAACTGAACACAGGGCAGCTGGCTGTCGCGCAGTGGCTGAGACTTGGGAGACAGAGGGCTTGGCTGATATGCGTGCTGAAGGCCCAGCCCTGTGCAAGCGTGTCTAGGGCAGAGGGTGGACATGCATCAACTGACAGCCGTCAGAGGGCCCCGCCATGACACCTGCCCACGGCTGGCGCTGACTCAGCCACACTGGTTTATTTTTGGCTTTATTAGCATTTGTGCTGTGGGTGTCTCGACACCTCTCCCCGCAGCCACCAGGGCCCCCACCTGGGGTCCTGACTGCAGGTCTTCCTTTGACGCCCCTGCAGAATTGGTGCTTTCGGAGACTCACCTCCTCATGGCCCCTCTGACAGCCCAGGCCACACACCCTGGGCGCAGCATCTTTCAGGCTCCTCTTCCTTCCCTTCTCTCTTCCTTTCTTCCTCTTTTCATTCATCCTTCCTGCCTCCCTCTTCCCCTCGTCCCTCCTTTCTACAGCCTCATGTAGTAACCCATGCTGTCCTTGAACTTAATACTTAGCTGAGGCTAACTTTGAACTTCTGACCTTTACCTCCCCGGCGATGAGATGACAGGCATGCACCAGTCCTGACTCACAGCTCTGTTTTTATTTTCTGTCCTATGGTGATTTCCAGCCACAGCTGTATGAACATATTAAGTGCTCAGATCTCCCCATATGAGAACTTGTCCTACGAAATGTTACAAAGTTGAGCCAAGCTGGCTGGGCATGGGAACACAGGCCCATGATCCTCACGCTCAGGAGACTGAGGCAGAAGGGTTGGTGAGATCTCTGGGCTAGCCTGGACTACAGAGCGAGACCCTGTCTTAGAAAAGAGGGTATTCTGTGGAGATGGCTCAGACCTGAATTCAATCCCTTGCACCACTTCAAAAAAGTTGGGTGTAGCTGGGCATGGTGGCACATGCTTTTAATCCAGGCACCCGGGAGGCAGAGAGAGACAGATTTCTGTGTGAATTAGAGGCCAGCCTGATTAATCTACAGAGGTTCCAGGCCAGCCGGGGCTACATAGTGAGAGCCTGTCTCAAAGCTGGGGCAGGAGGGAGCTCCGCAGCTAAGAAGGCTGTTTTAGAGGCTTGTTCCCGGCATCCCCCCGGCATTGCACACTGCTTGCTCTGGTTCTGAGGATGCTCCCCGGGCACTAGGCACATATGCAGTGCACAAGCATACAGGCAAACCTGCAGCCCCACTCTGGGAGGTGGAGGTCGAGGGACCCACATGGTGGAGGAAGGGAACCCTGTCCCCAAAGCTGTTGCCTGACCATCGCAAGAGTGCCTGGCATGCGCACACATCAAGGTAATCGAAAAACAAACAAGGCCGATAGCCCCTGAGGATGGACCCTGTGGACTGTTCACATGTTTGTGTGCGCACTTACACACACACATAAGTAAATAAAACAAATGAATGAATCTTAAAAACCAGTCAGGTATGGCGGTCTGAATAAGGATGGCCCCATAGGCCATTCAGATGTTTAGTCAGCAGGGCTGAGAGAATTGGAAAGATTAGGAGGCGTGGCCTTGCGGAGGGAAGTGTGTCCCTGGAGGTGGCTCTGAGGTCCCAGAAGCCCACGCCAGGCCCAGTTCTCTTCTCTGCGTGTGGCCCGGAATGTAGCTCTCACTGCTGCCCAGCACCATGCGTAATGACAATGGGTTAAACCACTGAACCTATGAGCCAGCCCCAGTTAAATGTCTTATTTTCTATGTTTCCTTGGCTATGGTGTCTCTTCACAGCAATAGACAGTGACTAAGGCACTGGGCATGAATGCATAAACCTATTATTCCAGCATGCTGAAGGCTGAGGCAGGAGGATTGCTACCAGATTAAGGCCATCCTGGGTTACACAGTGGCCAAGCAGGCAGGGTTGTCGGTCACTGAGACTGTTCCTGCCCCCTGCTCTCTCCACAGCTCTGGTCTCTGCCACCTCCATGCCAGAATCAATCCAGCTATGGCCCCTGTCCATCCTAGATACTCTTTGAACCATGTCCCATCCTTCCTTTCCTGCCTGGGATGCAACCAGATCCAGGTCTCCCTGGACACCCAAATCATTTAAGGCTAGCCCCCTGCATCACACTGCATTGCCCTCTCTAAGTGATTTGGACATTTGGAAACGGAACTTCGCCAAATCCAATCCCAATGCCTTATACTTTGGTCAACGACCATGTGCTTCGAGTGCAGGAAATGTCCAGTGTTAGTCAGGCAAGGTGCTGTCTACTTTTAAACCCAGCACTCAGGAGGTAGAGGCAGGTGGATCTCTGTGAGTTTGAAATGAGCCTGGTCTACAGAGCAAGTTCCAGGACAGCCAAGACTATACAGAGAAACCCTCCCAAACAAAGCACGATACAATTCAACACAGAAAGGCCCAATCTAACTTACCTCCTGACCTCTGACCTCCAACACCATCCTTTGTCAGAAAATTCCAGCCCTTCCAGAGCATTTCCTCTGCTCAGGGAATCCCCAGCCACCAGTACCCATATCCTGGCCACACTAGGACAGATAGAAAACCCAGAACTTACCCTCCTGCCCGCTGGCCACCTCTTCCCAGAAGCCCTCCAAGCCTGGACTCCCAGCCACAACATTCAGGTCTGATTCATCCAAGCCCAAGGACACAGGTATCAGCGTGCTAGAGGCATCCCACAGACTTGTGGGCTCCCCTGAGGAAACTGAGGCCACTTCATTCATGCTTGAGGCCAGAGATGACCAAGGATGAGAAGGCAGACTGATGAGAGGCCCTGCTGACCCCTGGGCCACTATGTGGTCCTCTGGCTGTGTGTGGCCTCTGGAGCTTTTGGAGGTCAGTGTGGGCATGCTCTGGGCCCCAGGCATAGTCACAGCCACATGTGTGCTAGAAATGAAACTTTTAGGTTCAGATCCCCAAGTGGCATCAGCCCCGCTGGGGACCAGCTTCAAGGTGGCCTTCATAGGCCCCTCGATGGCACCTCCCTCCAAAGCCACTGTAGGTTCCACACTCATGGTGACTCCATGGCCTTCCAAGGATGTGGACTGGGAACCTGAGTCCAGTCCTTGGCTGGGCAGTGGTAGCCAGGTGGCCAGCACCTTGTCCACAGTAGCCTGTCCACCGGATATGGGACTCCCTGGTAAGTCCCAGGCTCCAGATTCAGTCCCAGTGATGCCAGCATCAGAGGCAACAGAATTCACCGTCACATTACTGGAGTCCATGGACATCCATGGGCCAGAGCTGGGGAGCTCTGTAGCCTGGGTAGAGCTGATCCCCCCAGTTTCTCTAGAATCTGCAGCAAGGGATCTGTGGCTGGCTTCAACTGGGACAGCCATAGTGGAACCTCCTGCTCCAAGGCTGGCAGGCCTGGCAGTGGCGATGTCCTCATTCTCTTCTTCCAGGCCCCAGGAGGGGAGTGGGGAAGCTGGGGAGGGCATAATAGCGGTCACACTGGGGACAAGTGTGGAGGGTTCTGGAGGCCACAGTTTGGGGGCACGAAGCATGGCTACAATGGGGAAGTCTGGGGAGCTGTCATCAGGGGACACAGCACTCAGGACCTCTGAGGAACTGGAGGGAGAGACAGCGGGCTCTGAGGGTGACCAGGGCAGGTGCTGGGTGGTTGATTTCACACTGAGGGCCTCCTCGGCTGCCCCTGGTGGGCCAGGGGTACTGTCGATGCTCGGGCCGCTGGGTGAGATCAAAGACGGGGACCACATCCCGGACTCTGGGGCACCCCTGCTGCCAGGAGAACCTGTGACGTCGAAATGGATTAAATTAGCAGGGCTTGGTGGCACACCCCCATGATCTCAGAACTTAGGAGCTTGAGGTAGGAGGCTAAACACTAAGACCAGGCTGCCCTGCTTAGAGACAGTCTCTAAAGCATTTTAAGCCAGGTGTGGATGGACAAGTCTGTTAACCATGCAGTCAGGAGACAGGAGGTTCTGGAGTTCAGTCATCCTCAGATATGGGGAAGTTAGAGGCCAGCCTGGGCTACATAAGAAGCTGTCTTGGGGCTGGAGAGATGGCTCAGAGGTTAAGAGCACTGGCTGCTCTTTCAGAGGTCCTGAGTTCAATTCCCAGCAACCACATGGTGGCTCACAACCATCTGTAATAATATCTGGTATCTTCTTCTGGCCTGCAGGTGTACATGCAGATAGAACATTGTATACGTAATAAATAAAATAAAAAAAAAAAGAAGCTGTCCTAACACCTCTTCCAGCAGACAGTAAAAGCCAAGCATGTTGGGGCTAGAAAGATGACTCGGTGGTAAAGAGGACTTGTTGCAGAAGACCCCGGTTCAATCCCCAGTACCTTACAAGAGCCTGCAACTCCAGTTCAGAGGACCCAGCACCCTCTTGTGCCCTACAGGGCACGTGCACGTACACACACAATCACACATGCACACACTCAAACTTACTCAGTCACATGCGTTCACACACTCACACTAGCACATGCATAAACAGAATGGGGATTTGGAGGCAGGACTATGGGCAAGGTCAGGGAGCTGCTGGAGCAGTGTGAGGCTTTGCCACCCTTCATTTCTCCCCGGCTCACTCACCTGCCCCTGGCTCATCCACTTCGTTGGTCAGAATGCCCCAGGCACTGCTGTTGCGGTCGCTGTCTGAGGCCTCTGTGGCTGCCGAAGGCCCTGTGTGGTCAGCAGGAGCTTCTGGGGTGGGAGGCTGGGGGCTGGCCTCTGCTGTCTCAGGCTGCTGGCCACCTGGGCCCTGCTGCTGGAAGTGCCGACCATTCAGGCCTTTGAAGCGGCCCCTCCTTGTCGTGGGAGTAGGGGCCACCTGTGTGCCAGAGGGTGTTGTGTTCTCCATTTCCACTGCCATACTGCTGGGGACAGCTGTGGAGCCTGAGGCCCCTGGAAGCAGCCACTTTTCTGAAGAGGGCCAGGAAGCCAGTGTGGGGCCTCCTGGGGCAGAGCTGAGGCTCTCCTGAGGCCCCTGGGTCCATGTCAAGCCCAGGGGTTCACCTTCTCCACTGGACAGAAGAGGTTCCTGGAAGTCAGGTGCCACCTCCTGCTCCCCCAGGCTGGGCGCTAGCTCTCGGGCTGGGAGCCCCTCTGCTGACACAATCTCCCCCTCATCTCCAGAAGCAGGGGTCTCAGGGTCTCCATGTTGTGGTGTGAGGTGGTGAGCTATAGACAAAGCAGAAGAGGTGTGGGTGCAGGAATGCTGGGAAAGTCCTGCATCACGTCTGCGCACACCCTGGCCGCTCCACCTGGGCGTCTCTCTGTCTGGGTGTTTCTGAGATTCCCCAGCCTGAGAAGAGGAAGTGCCATTGCTGCTGCACCAGAAAGTGCTGGCAGTCAGCTGGTCACATGAGCACTGAGGCAGCTTGGCTCATTGGCGGGTGCTGAGACCATACATCAGGGCTCCCGATACGCCTCCCCCTGGCTGGGCCTGTGGGTGACTCCAGGTAGGGAGATAAGTCCCACCAAGGGTGGATTTCTAGAGTTAAAAGAAACAGCCCATAGGGGAGAAGGGAGCCTTCCCCAGAGCTCCGCCCACCAGTGCTGTCCTCTGTCTGCAGCCCAAGCTAACCTGGAACTCAAAATGTAGCCCAGGCTTGCTTCAAACTCACAGAGCTCCTCCTACCTCCGCCTTCCGAATGCTGGGTGAGAAGAGTGGCCCCGTAGTGGCCCCATCTAAGGAAAGATCCATTCAGGGGCGGGGGTGGGGTGGACACTCCTGCAGAGGGAGTGGCTTCTCACAGGGCTTCTGCCCCCCTCTCCGTGGGTATGGGAATGATCTTGTTGTTTTGTTTCTGGCTTTGTAAAAACAGAATACCAAGTAGCACAGGCTAGCCTTGAACTGACTGTGTAGCCCTGGATGACCTTAATACTTCTGACTCTTTTGCTGCGCTCTCTCAGGTGCTCAGCCCACGCCTGGCTTTCTTCGGTGATTGGGATGGGACCCAAGCCTTGCTAGGTGTGCTGCAGCCACAGCTGAGAACAATAGAAAGGAAAGTTCTGGGCACAGTGGCCAAAGCACTGAAGCCCAGTCCTTGAGAGGCATGAGCAGGTGTGCAGGAGGACCAGGTCAGCCAGGGTTGCTCAGGGAGACCCTGTCTCAAAAACAAAACTAAATAAGATAAATGGAAATGGAGGCTGGAGTGACGGCTCCGTGGTTAAGAGCGCTGGCTACTCTTCCAGAGGTCCTGAGTTCAATTCCCAGCGCCCACATGGTGACTCACAACTTCTGGAATGGAACCTGATTCCCTTCTCTGCTGTACACGAAAGACAGAGCATTCATATGCATGAAGTAAATAAACAAATCTTTTTGTTTTTTTTTTTTTTTTAAGAGAGAAATACAAATAAAAGAAAGCTGGCAGGGATGTGGCTGTCGTTTGCCTATGTCTGGAAGCATGGCCATTGCCGGGTGTGGCGGCGCAGGCCTGTAATCCCAGCACTCAGGGAGGCAGAGGCAGGCGGATTGCTTTGAGTTCCAGACCAGCCTGGTCTACAACGCGAATCCAGGACAGACGAGGCTACACAGAGAAACCCTGTCTCTGAAAACCAAACCAAAAAGCATGGCTGCAGAAGCATGCTCATCATCAATGATCCTGGAAGGGGTATGTGTACAAGGCATAGGATAGGATATGGCCTCCACATCCTGGCTGGGGACATGATCTGGAGGGAACCCGGACTCATGGGGGCACATTAGCAGGCTATGGTTTGTTCTGCCCAAAGCAGATGATGGGTGTGGTCTGAACCGTGGAGGCGTGGTTTTCGCTAAGCACTTTCAGGGGAGTGTGTGACGCGCAGTGTGGCCATAACCAAGCTTTCCTGGTGGGGCTGCAATCTCAAGGGAACTTATCCAAACGCACTCCGAGCAGCTGCAGAAGTTGGTCCGGGGGAGTGTGGCCAGACAGGGACCCACCCCCTGGACGATGGCTCTGGACGTGGCCTTCAGGGCCCTCCTGGGGGCACGTCCTAACGCACCTCGGAAACAGTAAGCGTCGAAGCGCGCTCCAGGCGCGGGGAAGCCGGTGCGGTTGGCGAAGCGGTAGACTGTGCGCACACCCGGGGCGGGCCCTCCGCACCGCCGGCGGGGCGTCTGGATCGGGTAGCGCACGCTGCCGTCCGCCAGCCAGCCGGGGTCACACTGGTCCAGGCCCTCGTGCCAGGCCAGGTGCAGCTGCCCCACCGAGGCCAGCTCCGCACCCTGCCGCTGGCACTGCGCCCGCGCCCCCGCCAGGGTCAGTCGGCGAGCGGGGCCCACGTAGAAGACTTCGCCTAGGAGAGCAGCAGGGTGGAGGTCAGAAAAGGGTGGGAGAAGGAGGGACGCTCAGAACTGCGGAGAGGAAGCGCAGGGAACGTAGATGGAGTCACGGCTCCAGCTTTGAAGAGCTTTGAGGGGCCTTGGGAGGACTTGGGGGCTGGAAGACACCTGACACTCAGTGAGAGGTGGCCCAGGTCCCAAGTGCGGCTCTGGAAGGCACTAAGCCTTCGGAGAGATTCATGGGGGCTTAGGGAGATACGGGACAGCTCACACCTGGCAGGGGACGAGGGGCGCAAACGCAGCGTGCCTTACCCCCCAGCTCGCGGGCAAAGCAGTAGACGTCATAGAGTTCCTGCGGGTCGCGTCTCCCGTAGCTCCGAACCCCGGGCAGACTGCTGCGGTCACCATAGCAACCAGGACGCGACTGCGTGATGGGGTATCTGACCGCGCGAGGGGAGTGGCCATCAGACGCTTGCTCCGAAGCCCCCTTCTCCAGGAGAGCCCCAGTCCCACGCCCCCGTGCACACCCTCACCGAACCGTGCGGTCCGAGAGCCAGCCAGCGTCACAGTTGTCAAAGCCGTCCTCGAAGGCAGCCTGCAGGTGCCTGGGGGCGGCGATGGTGGCGGAGCTCAGGCGGCAGGCCTCCTGGGCGGCAGCGAAGGTCAGCGCGTAGCGGTCCCGGGCCGCCCGGTAGTGGAACACGACGCCTGTGGGGTAACGGCAGGAGGCCTGAGAGGGGCTTATGTGGACTCTTAGCAAACAGACCTCCCTAGAGCAGATTTTTAAAAGACGGGGTCTTTTCAAAAAAGGGTGTGGTTGGCACCTTCTTATTCCCGGCACTCAGGAGGCAGAGACAGGCGGATCTCTGTAAGTTCGAGGCCGACCTGGTCTACAGAGTGAGTTCCAGGCCAGACAGAGCTATATAGAGAAACCCTGTCTCAAACAACAACTATGAAACACACAACGAAAACAACAACAACAAAAGACATCCTCTCATGTAGCCTAGACCACCTCCAATCCCATATGTAGTGAAGAATGACTTAATTTCTGCTCCTGACTTCTCAGCCGTGTTTCATATCTGCTTTCATTTCTTACTTTGTTTGGTTTTTCGAGATAGGGCTTCTCTGTGTAGCTCTGGCTGTCCTAGACCTAGCTCTGTAGACCAGGCTGGCCTCGAACTCAGAGATCCTCCTGCCTCTGGAATTAAAGGTGAGTGCCACCACTGTCTGGCTTCATTTCTGTTTTTGAGAGAGCAGCTCAGTATGTAGCCCAGGCTGGCCCTAGACTCACAAAGCTCCATCTGCCTCTGCTTCCCAGTTCCCCACCACAGCCCCTGTCCCAGCTCATTTTTTCTTAATCAGTTGGCAAACAGAAATGACAGTGGAGTTTAGCAGAGGATCTGGGCAGACACGCTTACATGGTGTCTCCTGAGGTGTGTTAACTGACATTTTAAATATAGGCTCACTTTAACATTTTTTTAAAGATTTTTTTTTTTTCCGATACAGGGTTTCTCTATGTAGCCTTGGCTGTTCTAGACTTTGCAGAGCAGGCTGGCCTTGAACTCACAGAGCTCTGCCTGCCTCTGCCTCCTGAGTGCTGGGGTTACAGGCGTGCACCGCTTTGGCTGTTTACTTATTTTCTCACACATATTGCTTATATATGTGTGCGTGTCTGCATGTATGATGTGGGGTCTAGAGCATGAAGGCTCTGGTCCCCTGGAACTGGACTTGCATGTAGTTGTGAGCTGCCATGTGGGTGCTGGGAATGAAAGCAGGACCTCTGGACGAGCAGCCAGGGACCCCCAACCTCTGAGTCATCCCAATCTTAGGCTTCATGTATTGCTGTGTGTGTGTGTGTGTGTGTGTGTGTGTGTGTGTGGTGAGTGCGGTGCCTGAGGGCAGAATTGACACAGCCCCTAGAGCCACCTGACATGTTCTGAGAAACAAACTCAGGTCCTCTGGAAGAGCAGCAAGCACTCTTAAGCACTGAGCCCCTGGAAGCCCAGCCTCACTGTTTTTTGTTATTTGTTGTTTTGAGACCTTGATGTTTTGGTGATCTTTCTGCTGAGTCTGGTGATCTTCAGACTCCAGAGTGCAAGCATGTATGTACTACCACATGGACATATTAGTATTTTGATGGAAAACCACTAATTTAGTGTTCAGCAAATTAGATGAGGGTAAAGGGCCTTAGAAGGTGTTTACAGTCCAGCAGCTTCAGGCCCTGCAGTGTGCTCATGCCTCGGGCTATAAAGGAGGAGCCTGAGAAAGGGCTGGGCCCAGACCCAGAGGATCAAAACCCCTGAGAGAGCCCTACTCAGGGCGACTTCTAAGTGAGAACCCAGGGCCTGGGCTTCACAGGCTTGGTCCTTTTCATCCTGACTTAGGCCCTCTGCTTCCATCTTTAAGATTTATTATACATACAGTATTCTGCCTGCACACCAGAAGAGGGCACCAGATCTCATTATAGATGGCTGTGAGCCACCATGTGGTGCTGGGAATTGAACTCAGGACCTCTGGAAGAGCAGCCAGTGCTCTTAACCTCTGAGCCACCTCTCCAGCCCCCACCCTTTCTATTGGGACTCTTCATCCTCATCCCCTCTTTCCAGCCTTCCTTCAGTACTACAATGCCCACTTCATCATCAGGCCCTCCCCTTTCATGATTGGCCCCTCCTTTTCTGTCCTAGCTCCTGCTGTACCATTTAGTCCCTCCCCTCTTGGCCCCTCTCCTACCATTCTATCCCCCCTTCTTAGCCCGCCCCCTGCCATTTTGGCCCCTTCCCTCCTGTCATAGTCCCTCTTTTACCATTTTAACTCCTCCCCTTCTTTTCTTTCTTTCTTTTTTATTATTTTTTTATTTTTTGAGACAGGGTTTCTCTGTGTAGCCCTGGCTGTTCCGGACTCGCTTTGTAGACCAGGCTGGCCTCAGAATCACACAAATCCACCCACCCCTGCCTCTCTGAGTGCTGGGATCCCAGTCGTGGGCCAGGTGTCCGGCTGTCCCTCATCTTCTGTCCTTGACTCCTCGCTTGCTGGCTCCCTCTCCCTCCACACTCACCCTGCTCCCCCATCTTTGTTTGCTCTTCCTTTAACTTTGGCCCCTCTCCTTCTGTCCTAGGAATCTTGCTCTTCATCCTCAGGCCCTTTTTTTCTAGCTTCCTCTTTCTTCTCTTGTCTCTCTTGCTATGATTCTTGGGCCCCTCCACCCAGCCTCCACCCTTTCTCCTTCATCCTAGGCCCCTCCCCTTTCATACCTGCCCCACCTCACCTGTCACCTCCAGGGTCACCAGGTCCTGCTCATCCTCGATACCTCTCACCACCTGGCAGCGGTACAGCCCGGAGTCGCTGGCCCGCAGCGGCCCCAGCAGAAGCGTGGCATTGGCTCTGTGCCGAGGGTAAGCTGGCAATGACACCCGTCCCTGCCAGCCCTTGGCCACACGCACCACATTGTCTTTGGCCACTAAGATGGGCAAATCTTGTCGCTGACCTGACGCAGTCCAAACCTTGGTCCACTTGATCCGAGGAATGTCTCGAAGGGTGCCTGGCCATGGCTGCAGGGTAAAGAGGCAGGGCAGGGCCACCAGCTCTGCCAGGGCAGCACGCACGGGTCTGGGCCCCAACTTCAGCATGTGAAGCCCCTTTTCTGTGGTGGTATCCTGTTTGTCTGGGGTGGAGAGAAAGCACCTGAGTCAGAGGCAGAAGTCAACAGAACACTGACGTTTCTTGCTTTAGTGTCTTTCTTTCTTCCTTCCTTCCTTCCTTCCTTCCTTCCTTCCTTCCTTCCTTCCTTTCTTTCTTTCTTTCTTTCTTTCTTTCTTTCTTTCTTTCTTTCTTTCTTTCT